ATCTCAGGCAGCAAAGGCATCTCCAGTAATGTTATAAGAAATTCACACAGCCCTGTGGTTCGTCAGCACGTTCCCTATCATTTGTTACATCTTTTTGACAGTCGAGCATCAATTTAGAAATGCCCTGCAATGAACTCGGAGAGCAGCGTCGCTCAAGGTCAAGTGAAGGAGGACACAGTGCAGTGCTGAGCCAGTCTTAGCTAACAGCTGCTGCCCTGAGCAGGGTGGGTGTAGATGTACACCCTTCCCAATTTTCCCCCCCTCTGGTGAGTCACAGGTAAATGGTCTTGAGTGCTGAGGGATTCATCTTCTGCAGAGCACCAAGAGGAATGCTAGCCAGTGTCAGCTGCAGAGCACAAAATCTTGTTAATTAACAGAATAACCAGATTTCTTACTGTCTGTTTATGGTGCTGAGGCCGCTGCAGAGAGACATGCAGGCAAACTGGGGGTGAGCCATCCCTTCTCACTGGGACTGTCTGATGCTGCAGGAGAGGCTGGAGATTCACTTTATTTACCTTGGAGATGTGCCGTATTTACAGCAAGCCCAAGCATCTCTTCACAGTGCTGTGCTTTGGCAATGTAAACAGCCCTGGAATGTTTTGCACTGGAGGCTGCATTTTTGGGAGGATAAATGAGAGTTCTCATTTTGACAGATACCAGTGTAAGTGATTGTGTCCCAGTAACATTTATAATAAGCAAAAACCCAGCTCATACCAATAGTAGGGATGTTCTTGGCCTTTCATAAAGATTTGGAAACAATTATCAGAGGCAAAGGTTTAAAAAGAGTGGGTGATAATTGGGAAGCATTAAAAGCGTGTCACTGAAGGCCCCAAAAGACTAACTGGGGGAAAAGTACAATGTTGGTTACAAAACCCACTGGTTTAGAGGGAAAGTAAAGGAAGAGTTAGAAACATAACAAATAGATTTGAGGGGAAGTTAATGGTGATGCGTAAAAAGCAGTTGGGTCAGTGGTAAATTAATGATTAAAATTAAATGTGGAGCATTGTCTAGAGAAGGCTTCCTTTCCCTGGCAAGATAAAGGAAAAATATGACATCCTAAAAACAGTGTTGGACCATTATCAGATAGAAATAGATTTTATCAATAATATGGAACTGTTCATTGAATATTTCTGTTCTGGTACTTGTGAAGGGTAGCATGATGCAGTCACACGAATATAGTGATGATGGTAAGCTTGTAGAAATATTTTTTATTTCCATTGTACCTCTGGGTGTTATCAGCAGCTTCATGTGGGACTGCAGCCTCAGCTGCCTGTCCCAGCTGCCTCCCCATGCTGGGACACTGAAGAGCAGTAGCTGCTTGGCCACTGCAGCTTTTCCTCCCTAAGTACACATCAAGTTTTTACCAAAGGCACAAGGCAGCTGCTACCAAAGTGTGATGTTTTCAAAACCATGAGGTTTGGACAACTCACTTCAGGAGCTAAACCCAACATGAAAAAGACAATTCTGACCATAATTTTTCTTTATGCTTTGTAATATTTTAGATGCTTCAGAAGACTGAAGGGTGGAAATAGTATCTGATTTTTTTCAAAAGGATGTGAGATGTCCTGGAGGACGGTAATTTTGTTGGCCTGATATTGAGCCCAGACAATCTAATTGCAAAGCTGATGCCACTTTCAATTAATAGAGTGCTAAACCAGAATAATGGCATTACCACCAGGCTACGTCTTGCCAAATTATGGTTTTGATGAGATGAAAAATTTGGTTGATGAGTACTACAGATATTTAGGGTGTTACATAACATTAAATTACAAAACATGATTTAAAAACACAAATATATTTGTATTCGGGAAAACTGCCATGATGCAGTTGAATTTCTGGAGGGATGTTTTTTGTGAAACTGTTCACAGCCCATGTTTTTAATACTTTAATCCATGAGCACACAGTCATTGCTTACAGCTTGCAAGAGGTGCAGAGGTAGCTGTGAGAGAGGAAGATGCGAGGTGACAGCCCTGTCACCTGTGTATTGGGGCACAGAGAACATGGCTCTGCTTGGTTTCAGCCCCTGGGAAATGCACTGAGAAGGGCACTGAGTGCCTTCAGTGCACTGAGAAAGGCTTTGGGAGGTCACAGTGAATTTCTCCCTGGGTATTGAGGCACAGCATGGCCAAAGACCTGTGGCCATCAGCTGTACAGACATGTAAGGAGGTGTAGGGACTCTGCTTTTAGAGGGAGCCCAGCACCTCTGGAAGATCAGTGTTGGGCTTAGCAAAGAAAAAATGGAGAAGTCACTTTACCACCACTAAGTATATAACAAGTAACAGGCATTTTCCATTTCTTTTCCAAAAAATTTTGTAAACCCCAGTTTGAAAGAAAACAAAATGCTGACTTGAAATAAGGTTTATGTTCCTGTGAGTAGAAACTGCATCACTGGGAGATGATTACTTGACTTCTACAGTGTTTTACTGTCGCTGTGCTGTGTGGCAGCTCAGGCTGAGAGATGATAGCCTGGATTTTGTCACTGGTGACCACCACAGTCACTGTTCTGTTCATTAGACATTAGGATTCTCTGCAGAGAAAGCTGTGACAAGCTGTGCTGAATAAGCATGTGTTACAACATACAGATACCTAGAATAACAACAATGTCTGAAACTTGGATCAATAACAGCAAACACCTGCCACCTCCTGCATGTGTCCTGGTGAGCATCTTAGCCAGACCAACCTTCCCTGGCACACCAGGTTCCCTGTAGGCCCTCCTCCTCCTTGCCCTGTAGCTCCTGCAAAGACCTTGCCCTTTCATTCTCTGCAGGCCAGGCTACTTTGCCATCTCCAGTGTCCATTCTGAAAGGCTGGCACTTTCTGAAAGTACAAACTGTGGAAACTCTTCCCTAATGGGCAGGAAAATTACTGCCTCCCCACAGGCTTTCTATTAAATCATAACAAATGTTATCTCTATGTTGGTATCTCTCCCACTACTTAGAGTAAGAACAAATTCCTGTTGCTGATGTCCTGATAGTGGATAGCTGCATAAGCATGAGGAGTATCAGCCCATGGGGCTATCATCTTGTTAACCCTGTAGAGACCCCATCAAAGATAAACAGAATAAGTAAACCAGTAGACTTAAGTGATTATTCATCTTCCCAGCTGGGACCCCCAGGCTCTTACAAAGTTCCATTTCCTGAAGGGTTTGGAAGAAACAGTTCTCAGCAAAGAGAATATCTGCAGGGCAGTAGGAGGGACGCAGCAGCAGAACCAAAGCTTTGACTCTCCAGCTCGTGCTGCCCTCTCTGTGGTTCCTTCTAGGCTTCAGTTAATATGGCAGCCCAAGAAGTCTGGATTTGCAAGTAGCACCTGGTGTTTGAAAGGCTGAGGTTATTTGTACCAACAGCAAACTCTGCTGTGTCATGGCTTTAAAGTCAGAAGTGATCAGCATCCTCTAGTCACTACAATGATTAAAAAAATCAAACAATGTTGTGCTCAAAACATTGCTGCTTTTATGAGGATAGAAGTTTTTATAAGCTTTGGCTAGCTTTTAGTACTTTCATGTTTCTCAATGGTAATGAGAAGGCATTTTATCAGCAGCATAGAGTTCAAGCAGAGCTGCACTTCATCTACTGGGGACACAACAGGTTAAGTAATTTCCTGTTGTCTTCTCAATTGAGCCCCGTCCTCTTGGAAGAACATAGGTAAACACATCCTTGGATAGCCTGCAGTGAGATTACTTACTGTGTGAAAAAACAGAAGCAGGAGTAAATACACTGATGGGCTGTCTTTACAGAGAATTCAACGTGGGGTGCAATAACATAGAAATTTATTCATCATATCAGGCACTTTGCATGACTTCTGTGTGCAGACTGCTGGATGTCACTCCTCTTATCCCCAGTAAAGGGTCTGTTTTGCACAGAGTAATTTTGTTCTGTGCCCTGTCTGCCTAGACAGGGGCATAGTAAGCTGAGTGGTGTGAATGCCAAGGAAAGAGGGCAAAATACCCATAAATCCTACCTTCAGACATTCTCAGGTATTTCAGTGCTTGCTTTCAGATCGCCAGCTTAAGATAAAGCCCAAAGCACCACATTTTTTCAGGTGTAAAGAAGTAATAAAATGCCAAGAAATAGTAATAAAAAGGAATGTAAATATTTCTTCTGGGTTTTGAGCTGAAATGACGATCAAATCTGAATACTTCACAAAAACAACTTATTCAAAATGTGAAAGTCATAAGGTACCCTAAAAACTATGCTTATTTAGTCTTGCACAAGTCAGTTGTAATGTTGGATTAATATCTGTTTAATTCTCCTATGGTGTTTCAGGCTCAGGAGAAAAGAGCTGTATTTCAAAAATACTCCAGAGTTAATCAGGGATGTGGCAGCATCTGCTTAAGAGAGACCCGTAATTGAATCATCCCTAATTAACCTATCACCTCAACAGAAGGGAATAGGATGTTGGTACCACTACTGAAATGGATAAGAGGGATGGGAATGGAAAGGGGGGAGGATGAGGGCAAAGAGAAATAAAGCAATTTGCCTAACACCTAGTTTTATAATAAATTTGGGAGGAGGGAGGGAGTAGAAATTGGAGTATACGAGTCATTGAATTTTCTTAGTATATTTAATCAGACTGTAGTTTCAAAAACATTTAAGCATATTTACATGTTAATCAATGCATTATTTAGGTCCAGTAAATGTTTCCTCATTTGTATGGTTTGGGATTTTTACGGTATTTACAGATTTTTTTTCTTAGTATCATTACTGCTGACCTAATTTGTATTTGTAGTAATTATAATTTCAAACTTGGGGAAAAAACCCTTTGAAAACTAGCAGGCAGAAAAATAAAAGTAATTTCAGAGATCTCGGTATAGGCAATACAATACTTGTACATTTATTAAATGAAATATCTTCACAAATCAAAATGAGAAGTATTTCCTATTTGAAATAAATCTCACAGACATAGAACAGAGATACTAAGGAACACTGCTTGATTTAATACTGTTGTTCTGTTTTGTGCTTTATAGCTAATACACAGTAATTGCAATTTGTTTCATGCAGTGCCCTGCCAGACGGTTTTAGATTATTTGAAGACTGTACTTCAGCATCACAACCAGCTTATGGTGCCACAGCCAGCAGACCATCCAACTGAGGTAGTGTACAGTGAAAACAAGCTGCATCTCTTCGTGCTTGATCATTCATTACAAACACAGGCGCAAATAAATCAGTAGGCATTTAGTAGTAAAAACTGGTTAAAAACTGTCATTCTTAAGTACATAATCCCCTAAATGGAGGAAACACATCATTAATATAATCCAGAATTACTTTATTGAGCAGCACCTTACTCCCTGGATCAGCACCAGGTGTGCTTGCCTTGCTTTGGGTAGTTTTTCTCTCCTCTTTCTTCAGAAACACCATATTCGTGGGTAGAATTTAGGGTAGGGCTACCTGGTGACAGCTGTAGCTGCATGACTGAGAGTGGCTGCATGTGGCATGCAGCAGTTCAGGGTGTGTATCGCTTTGCTCCTCCATTCAGTTTTATCCTGTGCAAATTGATATATACATATTTATATTTATATTTATCACTAGCTGCTATCATTCAAGTATATTCCAAGGATTCATTTTCCTTTTTTTAATGCTCTTTTGCTTAACTAAAATTTTCAAGTACTGTAAAAACTGAGGCTGTTCTGTAATGTCTCACAAGGAATAGCTTGTCACGGTGTGACAGAATTTTGTATTCAATTAAATGCACAGATATGAATCTTTTATTCATAAATTTCATCATGTACAAATACAAGCAGAGATGCGTTTGTATTTTTGGTTCTTCCTTCAGAGTCTGCTTATTTCGTTTCTGGGATGTTTTATATTTGTTTTCATTTAATGACTGCTGGACACACCAAACTACATCATATATTTAGCGAGAATGTTTTGCCCAGAAGTGCTTTACTCTCTGAGGAAGCAATGAAAGTGTGTCTGTAGCAGGAATCCAGTAATTGTTTAACAGAGTAGCATAACACTATATCATGCCTTGGAGAAGAATGAGGAAAAATATCCTACATTTCAGGGGGAACAAGAGAGAAGTGTTATAAAATTGAGGCTGAGGAGTTACGCAAAATTTATTACCCTCTCCTCAGTTAATAGCAGTGTGAGCTCTCATGAAATCTAGATGTTGGGCCTTTCTGCACCCTGTTTTCATCAGTGCTATATATATAAACACAGAACAGCTTCAAGGATAGCTTGCTGCTTAGCAAAGCCACCCATGAGCATCTGTTCTTAATGCACATGAGCAAGCCTGGAGCCTCAGCTGGTGCCATTATGGGCTGGCACTGTGTAAGCCAGGTCTGGCAGGGCTGAAAAGCAAGGCAGTACCTACAGTTACCTGCAGCTTATACTTTGCAGTGGTACCAGTAAGAATGGTCATTGCTTCACTAAAGGGGTTTTTTAACAGGAAAAAAATAGGTTTCAGAAATTAAAGGTAGGAAAATAACCTACTTTATATAAAAGGAATGTGAAGCTAGCTGCTGAAAAAAAAATTAAATACCAGTGTGAGGATCACATGGTCCTTTGTACTGATGTAGTGGAACAAGCCAAGGGAGTATTCCTGCCAGCTCCCCCTGTGACAGAGTGGTCACAACTACTTCAGCCTAAGAATATGTTACTTCCAAGAGCTGTGCATGCTGCCCCTGTGCTCTTCTTCCTTCCCCAGCCCCTTCACAGTGCTGGAAGAGGACAAGGAGCTGGACTCGATGGATTGCAATGTTCTTCCATGACAGAGCTCTTCAGACATATTACTGGCTTCCCAGGGCATCATGTATGGGCAAAAACTAAAGCAGCTGCCCGTGTCATGAGTGGAGGGGCAGGAATTGACCCTGACCTGTTTGCAGTGACTGAGGAGATAATGAAGTGCAAAGAGAAAGCCCCAAATTTAACAGGGCTAGACTATAGGTGAAGGGTTTCTCTCTTAGGGGTGAGAGCTTGAGTTTACAGCTAGAGGGGAGTGAGCGAAGTGTTGAGGTGTTTGGGGAAGGAGTGGCCCTTCAGACAGACAAAGCCCATCTCTTCCCTTACATTTTGGCTTCCTTTGCAGCCTTTTGGGTTTGTCCTTAGCTGTCTTTGCAAGGCAGAGAAGTAGCAGACAGCCACACAGGCTGAGCCCCCAGTGATGCTAACCCCACTGGGAGGTGGTGTGACTCTAGATCATAGAGATTATCTAATGATAATTTCAGCACAGTCCTCACTAATTTCAATCTTCATTATATTTATCAAACTTGCAAAAAAAATTAAAAGCAAATACCTGAGGAAAACTTCAAAGATGCTCTCAAGCTGTCTCCCAGGATGCTATAATAAATATGTGAAAGAAGGCAAGGTAGTCCTTAAAATAGTCTTCAGATATCAAAGGCCTGGAAGTGAGAACTTTGCAGCACTTGCCCACAAGTGTGGCATGGGGCTGAGCACCTCACTGAGCATCAGACCTGTGTTTCTCTATCTCACTGCAAGCTCCTGTCAGACCTGAGGGCTGCACAAAGAGTTCACTAATTGGGCTACCAGATTTATGTGTTTTGATAAAGAGGTGCAGCTGTAAAAGTGAATGAGTCTCTAGGAGGGTGTGGTTTGGGTTTTTATTGTGTACTTCAATTATATCAAGTATATTAACAGTACCATCTTACATTAATTGGGTAATCCTGAACTATAGCGTTTTATGGGCAACAAGAATTAAATACAATTTAGGTACAATTGACTTAAGAGGGCTTATAAATGTGTGTGTATTACAGGAATCCCCATAATTAGTCCTACAGCATTCATTTAATGTTGGATATTGAAGCACACAAATTATGAAGGTTAAAAGCAAAATTTCTTTCCAGCTGACACAGTGGCATTTCTTTAAAGCTATAATTTGAGTTAATACAGCATTCATTAATAATAATGAAGCTTTTCGTTTTCATAGTTGCTTTACTTATTTTCTTTACATTTTTCACAGTAACATAATTGCTGTCAAGTTTCAGGTGTGTTCTACAGAAGTAATAAATTTATTATAAAAATAGACCAAAAGAGTCACCTCTGAGGGAAACTATGAGCTGTGATGAAGTGATCCATTTGATCAGGCTCTTCAAAGACCCTTTTTATGCATTTCACCATATTAAGAAGAAGCATTACACTTAAATAGTATGCCCAGTTGCTGATTCTTAACTCATTTTAACCTACTTGTGAAAGTGTAAATTATCAATAGCTGCACCTCTCAAAACTTATTCATTGTACCTCACCCCATCCGAGTTCTAGAAAATGGAAATGTAATTTCAGAAGTACTCATTCTCTGTAAGAGCAATTACATGTTCACTTTGGGTTGTGTTTCACTGTCGGTATCATGGATAGTTAAAAACGTTTCTTTTATTGCAACTGACATCTTCACTTATTTGCCTTGCAAAATAAGCAACAAAAATATTTGACTTTTGCAGGGGAGTAAGCAGTTGCTGAACAACTACCCTGTCTACATCACTAGTAAACAGTGGGATGAGGCCGTAAATTCTTCCAAGAAAGACGGACGACGGCTCCTTCGCTATCTCATCAGATTTGTTTTCACAACCGATGAGCTTAAGTACTCATGCGGCCTTGGGAAAAGGAAAAGGTCAGTGCAGTCAGGAGAGACAGGTCCTGAAAGACGTCCTCTGGATCCAGTTAAAGTAACATGTCTCAGAGGTACTGCATCTTTTCGCTCAGTGTCCACCATATGTGATCTCATTTCACCACATTGGCTCTGGCTCAGTAGAAGCATTTTTGGCTGACAGTGGCAGAACTAGAAGGGGTTTCACAGGCAGGTGACAAGCACCCAGAAACCCTCCACGTTCTTTTCATACATACATGCAAGTGTGTATGTATGTATAGTATATGTGTTTGGGGTGTTTTTGATGGGAAAAAACCAGGCCTCTTTAATAAGAGAGGACCCAAATGCAAGGGCACATGACACTAATACACTTTAAAAAGCAGTGAAGCAAAACCAGACGATCCTGATCACACTCTTTTATAATAAGCTCAGGTAATTTGTTAACACCAATACACAGCACAACTAACCAAAGGAATAGGTACAGTCTAATGTCTAGCAAGGATGATGCACAAGAACACAGTGCATCATTGGAAAGAGTGCAGAAGCAGAGTTTCAGAGTAGGTTTGGAAACATCTTCTAGGGTCAAGAATATCTTCAAGTTAATTACAAAGTATACATAAGTGTGTTGTCCAGAATTTAACTTATTTTTGGCATACTGATGCAACATTGCCAGAAAATGTTAGGGAACAACTTTCCTCCATGTTTAGCCTGAAAAGGGAGGGGAGTTTTGCAAGCATTTCACAATGTCAGAGAGTGAGGCTATTGCACAGAAAGGGTACAGATTGCAAAGAATGTTGTGTACTTTGGTATCCTAAAATTGTTTGAAAAGGCTGGTAGCAAGCTTTATAATAAAACATACAAAACAGGACTTTTTAAAGCCAAAGTAAAAATATATTTTTAGTTTCAACATCTGCATTGTATAAATGCATATGCTTATTATTTCTTTAATTAACTCATAGTTAACTTTATAGTATTTTTTGGGCACATACATGAAATTTTGTTTGAACTAACCTCAAGAATGTTTTACTAATGAATGCAATGTAAAAAACTATATTCTGGTCAGTGGTAAAAATATCTTCACTCATCTAACTGGAGTCCAAAGTGGTTACACACATCAGATATATGGGCCTCTTCCCTTTTAGGGTAGAAGAATCCAACAAGGCTAAGCAATGCAATGTAAAAAGCTATATTGTGGTCAGTCAGTGGTAAAAATATCTTCACTCATCCAACTGGAGTCCAAAGTGGTTACACACATCAGATATATGGGCCTCTTCCCTTTTAGGGTAGAAGAATCCAACAAGGCTAAGTAGATAAGACTTGTGGTTAGGGTACAATATTGATGTAACCAGGTAATGAACTCAGATTTTACAAGCAGACAAATTAGGCAAACAAGCACTTTTTGTACTACAAAATAATCTTTTAAGCTACTGTATGAGATTCTACCAGAGCTAAATTGGAGGAGAAATCCATCATACACTATGCTGCAGAGGTCTAGAGAGTCAGGGACCCAGAAATTCTCCTGGAAAATGAAGGCTGGAAACGAGTACTTTAGCATTTATTAAGTTATTTTAAGTACCACCTAATAATTTATGCACAAGCACAGTGCTGATACCCTTTTCTTCCCCTTTCTCTCACCTGGCTCCCAAGATTAATAGTAAACATGGAATTTTGCTTGTGGCCATTGTCTTTTTGAGGTCCTGAACACACAGAACATGGGGAGCGCTCCTTGGGAGAAAGAGAAAGGGTAATTTCTTTAATTATCAGAAGCTTGAAGAGGAAACCAAACATGCAGTAGGTAATGACCAGCTAAGGAAGCAGAGTAGACAGCTCTCCCCATGGGCCTTTGTGTGTAGGTGGGGACATGACAACTTTCTCCAGTGCTGAGAGTTGGCCACTAGCTCCTACTCATTTACAAGCCAAGATAACAAGTGTCTGACTAATTCTCAACCCAGCTAATTATGCCTTTACACCATAGCCGAGAGTGCAAATTGGTTCTCTGTCTGCACTCAGAGTTTAAATATATATAAACATTTTTAATATATTCCTACAACTGACTGGTGTCTGGAGCCAGTTTTAAAACATCCTGGCAGGCTTAAATTACAGCATTACTTCTTTACATGGTAACCATTTCTCTGAGAAAAAGACGAGTGTGGGGGCACATGTGAACATAACTAGGTAGGAATTACTGTTGCCTGTGTGGATTTCCAGGGAAATGAATTTAAAACAGAGATCGCTATCACTTTTGCAGACACACTGCTGGAGGAGCTATGCAAAAATCACATCCTAATTGTCCAACAGATGAGATACCTTGCAGGCACGGGAACTGATGTAAAAGCACAGCATTCCCTGTCTGGAGATGTGGTGACAGTAATGAAGTTACCTTACACCACTTATTGTGCTGTTGGCTTGTCAACAGTAGAAAATAGAATTTAAAAATATCCTGGGACACACAATGCTGCATGAGGGAATAACTAATGTTACAGAATAAATAAGCAGCTCCGTTTCTATATGAGGTACAGTGTATCCAGTATCTCTAATAAGATGCCCTCACATTTAAAATCATATTTGGATGTTTCAAAGTCCAAATACACCTATTTGAGCTATGTAGCAGTTTACAACTCCAGACTTGGCGGGGCACCTTCTGCAAGTCTAGCATATAGCACGTCAAAGAATCTGAAAAATAAATTATAAAAAATGTAATCATCACATACAAATAGCTGTATGTGCAGCAGCAGCTATTTAAATAGCTAAAATGCATGCAGTACAATTCATTTTCTCCTGCATTGAAAACTATTGCGAGGCTCCCTACATCAGCTCTCTGATCTCATTTAGCTATTTCTAAGGCCAAATTAGTCTCTGAAAAAATATGTGTAAAATACAGGGAGATGAAAATAGCAGAACTTAAAAGAAAGATATCCCAGACAGACAGGAGCACCAAACTGAAATAATGGCAGTGACATTTTCCAGCAGGCTGGGGGCTCCTGCAGGTTGCAGGTGCTGAAGGAGCCAGCAGAGGGAGGTCAGAAAGATCCAGCAGCAGTCACCTTGAGGTATAGATACTAACAGGTTTCTAATGAAATATGTCCTGGCTCGTGGTAGCTTCCACACATATTGCACACGCTGAATCACAGCCCTCAGTTCGAATTAGTTCTTTGTATTTCCGCCAGAAAGGATATTACATCCAGGTCCCATGAGTCACCTGGGTAGCTCAGGTGTAACAACACACACTGCATGTGGAGAAACACACTTATGCAGAAATACAACAGGTCCAAGTGGCATTTTCATGGCATCCCCCATAAGGCTTTACTTCTGCTTAAGTAGAGCAGCAATACCTCCTTTCTTATTTCCCATGAGCTTTTGACACCTGGGCAATACCAGATGCTGCAAAGACAAGTTGCTTTTAATCCTTGCATGTTTCCCTGCAGAGTTCATTAGGATGCACTGTACCTCCAACCCGGACTGGTGGATGCCCTCTGAGGAGCAGATTAACAAGGTGTTCAGCGACGCCGTGGGGCACGCGCGCCAGGGCCGCGCCGTGGGGACTTTCCTGCACAATGGCAGCTCGTACTACGAGGGGACTGACCACCCGGGGGCACAGGACGAGGTCTTCAACAGAGGGATGCAGGACGGATCTGGAGATTGATGGCACTGAGAACCGCGTCGCGCTGCAGTAGCAACCACTTAATGTAGGAGAGACTGTTTGTTAAACATCCCTAACCCTGCTGTCATTTAGGAGTCCAAAGCATGTTCGAACACACACTGCATACATTGCAGCTTCTCCGTCCTACCCTATCCCAGACAACAGAAAGAAATCCATTTCAAGACCTGCTTTATGGGACTTCTCAGTGCCTATTCTTTCCAAACCCTTCATAGCTCACTCAAAGGGAACATGCAGTCCATTTCATCCAGTTGTAGAGGAAAGGTCATTTAAAAACTATAGAAGTGTCAAAAGAAACTACAGCTACTATCTATCTCTTCAGCCTATTGATAACAATCCCAGGCCTGGACTCAGAACAGCTTTGCTTTCCCTGACTAGAAGATATGTACAAGTCTGCACACTTACAACAAAAAAAAAAATGAGTGGTTTCCCATTTACTAACAGAAAAGAACATAATTGTAAGTGCTACCTTAAAGTACCACACAAGACAGAAAATCCAGGGACTTTCTTAGCCAACTCTGTCAGGAAATTAAGCTTCCCGAGTAAAACAGCAGCACTCATCAACAGCAGAATCCTTCAAAGACCCAGAACAATAACAGGCATTTCTAACAGATAAAAATTGCATTGTATATCAGATAGACAGTATATTTATCTAGATTTCTAGAGGATTAGAGTTGATCATGACAGTTTTCATTAAAACAAGATTGCTAAAAACAAATTGCCATTTCTGAAGACAGATTTTCCTTTGTCTGTTCCTATTCTGCAGCCATATTACATAGCTTTAGAGGCTTTAAATTGCCTTTTCTTGTTTTCACTTTAATTTATGCTTTATATCCATTCCTTGAAAGAGGTGAGGCAATGGGCTGGTTTTGCTCAATGTTGCATTCAGGGAGGGGTTGGGCTAGAAGAACCTGATTTGGTGTTCTGTAGTAGGTAGACACGAGATCCAGACTGAGAGCTGTAAGAGAAGAGCTGTTGGAGCAGAATTTGCAATGGTGCACAACATTGGAAGCAGATACTAGCTTTAAAAACAAAAGTCAATCCACAAAAAGAGTTTAATTTTAAATGTTTAGGAGTCCATTGTCCCTCTAAATTGATCCACACCAGAAACGTGCAATGCCAAAGAAACGATGCCCTTTCCTTTCCACATCAGTGTGTTTCCATCTCCTTACCTTTCTGTGCTCACTCAGGCCGGTGTTGGCATCCTTCACAGCCTGAACCAGCACTTCCTGAGGCACCATTTCCCCACTGGCAGGAACAGGGAGCTGTTTTTTGGGAAGAAAGCTCACTTCACTTTTGCCATCCCTAGTGCTACCTCATCAGCGTTGGCTCTCCTGAACGCGTCTCTCACACTGCCCCAGCTTTCCTCACTGCCCTGTGCAAGCCACGAGCCCAGCTACCAATGGCTCCCTTGGCCCTTCTCCTCCCTGCCCACTTCTCCCCCAGCACCAGAGGCACTGGTCCCCCTCCTGTCCTCACCTGCCCTGCCCGTGGCTGTGACAGGTCTCTCCAGCCCGTGGGGCATCTCGGGACACGGGCTCACCTTGCACTGCCAGAGAGGGGACCTTGCTCAGTCCCTGTATGCTTTAGGCCCTCAAATCTCCAGTACCTCTGGGTTCACTTTAATTTTGGTGATTTCTTTTGAAAGGGGCTTGAAAGGTACTCACTGGCCCCAAAATAATTAATTTATTTTCTTAAAGTCAACTAGCAGTTTAGCCGCACAGGACCTCAGTAGACCAAGGGGTTTACTACAGCATTCCTTCATTACAGGCAGGAGGTGACTTTCTTGGAGCTGTCACACCACGTGGTGGCCTCTGGAGGAGAAATTCAGTGTATAGAAATGTCACAGTACAGATATCCTATAGTAGCTTTTCGGTGTTGAACTTACACTTTTTTAAAAAGAACTATAATAGAAGATGTTACATTGCTCAGATGGTGTAAGTCTTGCTGGTCTATGTTTAATGTGGTGACACATGCCAGAACTATTTGGTAAAACATGTCAGAACGTGTGAGTCAACATTATACTGTAAATTTGTCCACAGCGATATGTATCATGCTGTGTTTTTGTAAACATTGTGATGGTTTCCTTTCAGATGCTTAATTGTATGATGTTTAAGATATAAACACTTTCTAACAGTCACAGAACAGAATTACTGAACTGGACAGACCTCTCACTTAATAACTGAAAGATTTGCTGAAGTAACTAGTAAGCTTAGCTTTATTTTTAGTGTAAAAAGCATAGCCAGCATCCTGGAGCCACTCACAATCCGCTACTCTCATCGTGCGAAATAACCAAAAGTATAATTTCATCCTGAAAGCCACGTTGGCAGTAGAAATGGCTTTGCAGGTTTGGACCTTTCTTTATGAACAAAATTTTGTCCTCAGTTGCTTATGTGCACTGGCCAGTGACATGAATCATAGTCACAGACTGGCATTAGCAAACACCAGCTCATATTTTTGTTCATGTTTTGTTTTAAAAAAACAGAGTATAACAACTTTTGTCAGTTGTCTGTTTTCAATTGCCATCGTGGCCACTTGATCCACACATTTAATTTTAAAAATCCCAAACCTTCTTGCACAACAGCTTTTTCCAGTTAATTTGTTCATTAGGTGTTATATATTCGTACACATTGAAGCATCTAAATATCTGCAGAATGTTAGATATGGGACCTGAAATAACAGATAGCACATAAGCCCTTGCAGAGGGAGATATCCATATTTAGGCAGTGTGCTTTATAAGCCAGCACATCCCTTCCCAGCAACAGAAGGAAACTGCTATCTATCATGTCACTCCAGGAAGTTCCAGGAGGACAGAGATTCTTGTCTTATCCTTCCATATGCTTTAATCTTACTGTCATTTATGTATCTGCCTTCTCTCAAACTTTGTGTAGCAGCACCGCACGCCCATCTGTGGCAACATGCCTTCGCTATATTTTCTATGACAAATATTTGTGGAGAAACTGTGATTAAAAAAAAAAACATTAATCCTGATATTTTTATTGTTATGGTGTAGTTAATTCTATGAATACTTTCTTATGATGATTGTACTGTGTAGAGTAAGTACAGGTTAGGGATAGACCTTTATCAGATATTGTACAAAAGAAAAGTGCATAGTGTAATATAGACTAGTAAGGTTTTTGTGACTATTTCTATAGGATGTGTGAATTGTTTTCTATGTGGCAACACACATTTCTTTTAAAGAATATAAAATCTTAGAGAATTTTTAAACAGTCAATATTTTTTAATTATAAAGACATTTGTTACCTACAGTTTACTATTTCAGGTGTTAATTCTAATTTGAATATTGGTTTTATTACTACATACCTCCAGTTCCATTTGTTCTGTTGCATAAAAAATGCACAATAAAAGTTAGTCTCTGGTTAACCTGTCTCTTTCTTTCTCTAGAGGCAATCTCGTGTCAGTGTGACAGCCATGATACCTGGATGCCACTATAAATATATATTAAAAATTTTAGATTTATATAAAGGGCTAGAGCATTTTCTTTTGCATTAAATGCTTGTTTGGTATGAAGCACCAGAAAGCACAGGAAAAGATTATGAAGAATTCAAGTATGAATATAATATAAATCATTTTCACCTCAATGTACAGCCACATAGATTTATGTGCTGGTTAAATAGAAAGACCATTCAAAGGAAGTACCCATCTGCAATGTTAAAGCCAGGATTTTCAAGCAGTGACGTTTAAATCCCATTTTAATTCAGAATCTAGTGATGACTGAATGTATCCTGTTCTCTTAAAAGCTTTAGAAAATCCTGGCTCCAGATAATTTGTAGAGGAATTACAGTGACAAACATTCCCCATGGCACACCACTGCTGCTGGGCTGTGAGGCCAGGGCCAGCCCACAGGATGGTGTCAGCCACTTGAAATGGTTACCAAAAAGCACCATTACAAAACAGTGTTTTTGGGTGCCTGTACTGCTGCAAAATTCACTGGGGCTGGGCACGTATTTTCTAGGTCAGGGGCTTCAGCCTACTGCTTTTTTTTTTTGTGCAGATCACAATTAGTGAGAACCGTTTACTAATCTCCCCACCAAAATAATTTCAGGTAACTCTGAGAAATGGTGGTAGAAAATCTGTATTAATCCATCTGCAAACAATTGTAATTAGCTTCTCTCTGAAAAACTTTGACTTTCCAGACTTTTGGGCAACAGCTGGAAATGTCTGAGGGTAGATCTGGAGGCAGGAGGGAACAGGGATGGGCTGTGTGTAAACAAAACAGGGTGAAGGAGCAGTATAGGCAGGAGCCCAGCAGGGAAAGCTGGCAGGGAAGAAGAGAACCTAAGTAGAGAAAGGCAGAAATTTGGTTTATGGAGCTCAAAAAGAGACATTAGGTCTAACAGCAGGGCATATGGAAGGGGATAAACATGAGAGGTGGGGCCGGGCAGGCAGAGGGAAGGGGTACAGAAGAGCTACCTGGGGTGGGGAAGAACCAAGCCTCGGAAGTACCTGCAGTGCAACAAGCAGCACAGATGGGGAGTGTAATTGAATAATGTTGCATTTTAATCACTCTTTCAGTAAATACCTGTTAAACATACTGGTAAGGCAATGGCCAACCTGTGCTGCTGCTGTGCTGCAGTGCTGGTGCCCTCAGAAGTGTGGCCCATGCTCAGTTATATCTCTCCTGAGGCACAAGATGTCCCTGAAGAGAACTTCAAGGTCCAAGTGAGACACTGAACTTCATGCATATGAAGGTATTTCATTTTTACCTCATTTGCTTTGAACAAGCTCATATTATTAAAGTGTTTGTAATCTTATTAAAGTAAGATTAAATACTCACTTTGCAAAACCTTGTCCTCAAGAGTTCATCTAGGCAGGGTTTCCTCTGCCTCCTTCCCTCTGCTGAGGCACTGACTGAAGCCAGTGGACTGCCACTACCTCAGGCAGCATGGACAACAATACAATACTGACTTGCTGAGTTTCTGTTTGGAAACATGCACATCATCCCAAAAAGAACTCATCTTTCCCTACCTGACTTACTTGTGCTCATCAGTAACTACAAACAGTACCCCTGGGCTTCAGCACAAGGTGAGTGTGAATACAGCTCCAGGAAATCATCACGTGAATCTTGGTTATTGACAGAGCAAGCCAACACCACTGAGGTGACCTGACCACTCCTTCAGGCCTGTTTAAATCAGAGGCTCTGTCTTGGTTAGTTCCTAGTGAGTCCATACACAAGCAGCTCTGCAGGGATAAACCTTCCCTGCTGCACCAGGGAGCCCCTTGGAATACTTGGCAGATCTCATATATGACCTTGCCCTATGAATGCAAAAACCCTCCTCCACAGACCCTTCAACATCTGAAGCATAAAAGCAGCTTCCACTGCAAATGTATCACACTAAGGAAAAAAAAAAGCCACACCAGCAGATTAATTAGCTAAGTTGAGAGAAAAAAAATCTGA